TAAATGGAAACAAGAACAATCAAAAAAACATTCTTCAGCGTTCCTAGATAAAATACTTATACATTGCTTCAATTCAATATGTGCTGCCAGTGAAATCGCCAGTCTGTCTGCCCGTGAAAAGCGTATTTATGTGCGTTATCAACCAGAATTCGTCTTTTTTGTGGATATGTGGTCATTGTCTTGACATGAAGCCCTTTAATGTTGAATAGGTATTTATGCTTATAGTCAGAACGCATGGACGGCACTGATTGGTTTTTTGGTTTTTTTGACAAAGTATAACCGCCCACACTAACAGTTCGAATGATGTTGTCATATAATTCTTTTCTAATCTGATCTAAATGTTTGTTTTGTTTGATTTACTTTTTTGTTCAGTTTGATGGTTTTTTTTTTTTTTTCGTAGTGTAACATTCTAATCCTTCAATTTGTAACTTCCCTATGTATGTAATTTTTAGCCCTGAGGAAGACTAAATATATAGTCGAAACGTAGGCTTTTTCAAGAAAATAAAGAGTTTCTGTTCACCGTCCCAAACCCGCTAAACTTGACACCAGTTTTCATAAACCAGGGACGCTAACGATGAATATATAATATATCATAATTATGTTATTATTATTATATTATCTTAACAAATATCGGACATGCTTTTTTAATGAATTACGTAGGTTTATCGACAACTAGTGATCATAGCTTAAAGTTTACTTACAATTTATGAATTATAACTTTTTTACAAGTTCCGTCTCAAAGTCGTTCTAATGACCAATTGTTTTCTGCTCTCCCCGATGTTGCCACACAAATATACAAGATATACAAACACCATACCGTAAAAGCAGCACCTGAATTTTGAAACTCATTGTTTCACTTGAATATGCTTACAAACGTACGCTTTTAAGAAATTTCAAACGTCAAAACCTGACAATTTCAAAAATGGCATTGACATTAAATTTAAGATATGGAGTTGATGCCTTTTAATTTTGGCTATTCTTATTTATTATAACTTGTGATATGATTCGTGTGATGCTTTTCATTCGAACAAAAAATGTGGATCGATACGAAGGCACAAATCCGTTTTTCGCCCTTGTATCGAAAACTACCATAATAGAGGTGTAGGCGGACACCATGGTTAGGCAATATAAAAAGCCAACCGGTATTAATTTTAAGAACTACAATGAAGAAAACGTCGCTAGAGCTCCCGAAGATATTCGACAAGGCAGAAAAAGTTTAAGGCAAGCTGCTGAAAATTATAAAATTTCAACATCCACCTTACACGGTAAAAAAAGGCTTAACATAGCAGAAGCATGGCGGACAATGTTTAGTTTCACAAGAAGAAGAGAAGCTTAATAATAATAATAATAATACGCCTCTTACTAGGTGCGAAGACCATTTTTACCGCTTAATGAGGAGTCGTCCGTCTTTATCCCACCCATAGGCGTGAAGGCGGACACCCTTTATCTAAAAAAATAGGGAGGAACAAAAAGTTTATTTGCTTCATTATTGAATTCTGGAAAGGAGATACGTAGGACTCTAAATTATTTTCTTTTCAAATTATACTTTTTATTAAGAACAAACAGAAAAAATTATCCGACTTCAGCCCGGAAGATGGTAATGCATGTTTTCAACTTAAAAGTTTCAACTAACTGCATTATATTCTCAGACAAATACCTATTTCTACACTTATTAGATGGCGTGTTACAGATTATGCGCCGAGGTCCAATTATCACATAACAACCCCTTTATAACGTTCATCTATACTCAGTTCTCAACAACTATCAATTTCAGGATTTATGTCCAGTTTGCAGCAGTTTGGAGTGTACATGTCCAAAATTGATGAAGAGCTTACCCAACTATTCTTAAATTATTTCGTTAAAATAAAATAAAAATTTAAAAGTTCGCGTAATATACAGGGTGATTCAAAATTGGCGTTTTTCCTCTGGAGGTTTTGTCTGGCGCTGTTATAGGAGTACAGAAAAAATAGTAAAAGAAGTTAGTTGTTATTAAAAACTGGAAAATTTGCAAAAAAACTATATCAGAAATACGCACCAATGTTTTTCGAGGAAATCTGCCTAATTAACATTGCGCAAATGCCTGGTGTCCAATTCTCGAGCTCGAGAGAACGTGAACGATCCCATCGCCGATGTGATCATTCCCTTCCCTGCCCTTTCTACTATGGTTCGAAAACCATATTCTCGAATGCATAGGAAACGATGTGAGAAGCGTTCACGGAAAGCGTTGTTGCCAACAACTTTATCAGGGAAATTCAACTCAAATTTACGATT